AGAGAGAGAGAGAGAGAGAGAGAGAGAGAGAGAGAGAGAGAGAGAGAGAGAGAGAGAGAGAGAGAGAGAGAGAGAGAGAGAGAGAGAGAGAGAGAGAGAGAGAGAGAGAGAGAGAGAGAGAGAGAGAGAGAGAGAGAGAGAGAGAGAGAGAGAGAGAGAGAGAGAGAGAGAGAGAGAGAGAGAGAGAGAGACTGAGAGACAGAGACTGAGAGACAGAGAGAGAGAGAAGAATTAAAACTTAATAGGAAATATGCACAGTCATAATTCTTTATACAAGAGGCAAGATTTTGGTTAGTGATCTATTCCTTTTCCTTACATTTCTACCCAAAAATGGAATAGCATATGGTTGCAATTACCTTTACATGACACACACCCATTTGGGGTCTGCATGTCATGGATATTCGGTGGCATAATCAGGTTTCCCATGCCACAGGTTGTCCAGTTCTGATTTAATTTAAGATTATCCATTCTGATAATCCAGTGTGGGCTCTGCTGTCTCTTATCTGATCATTCTCTCGACTCAATCTTCCAATCTTTCTTCCCATAGAGCATCAGACATTCTTAAACTTGCTACCGGATTCTGTTCAAGCAGGACTGAATTAAGAGTTCTGCTCCCAAATCGTACAATCTCCAAACGAACCAATCTTGTATAGGAAGTATAGGAAGCGTCACAAGAAACCTCAGAAGTCACGTGAAGCGAGAGCATGAACAGGACCTTCTCCTCTGATGGCCTTACCTTACTGTCCAGTTTCTTCATGGTGACCAGATCCAGGGATTTCAGAGAATGTCCTGTGGGAGCGATGAAATACAAGCAAGCATGGACCCTGGAATCGTGGTAATTATGCAGCACCCGCTTAATTTTCAGCTCCTCTTGCAGATAGGCTTCAAATTGGGTATCGATGAATTCTACAATGGGTTTGTAGCTTCGTGGAGGAAAAAAACGGGGAAACAGAACACACGTTAATTCCTTTACGGTGCTTCCTACATTAAAAAAAACAAAGCTTCTTTTGTGCAACCTCTTTCATCTGGTAATTCTCCAGACGGTTGGGTGACTATACCAGTCCCAGAATTCAAGACTGGACATCATTTCGCATTATTATAATGCCACCCATGTCCACTCCCTTTCCTGTTCAGCAATTCATCTGAACATCTGAACATCTAAGAGACCTGTCTGGATTTAGCCAACAAGGCATTACCAGATTTGGTTCTCAACCGTATAATGAAACAACAGAGTTGGAAGAGATCTTGGAGGTCTTCTAGTCCAGTGGTTCTTAACCTGGGCGGTACCGCCCCCCAGGGGGCGATTTCATTTTTCAGGGGGGCGATGGAACGAAAAGGGGCGGCGTGGGGGCGATGGAACGAAAAGGGGGCGATAGGGGGGCGATGGAGCGAGATGTTTTGGGGACACTTTTGAGCCTTCTCCTGCAGCTCCGAGCATCCTCCGCCATTTGTAGAGAGAGACAGAGAGAGGCACTTGTGCTTCTCTCTCTCTCTCTCATGCGGATTTGCCCCCTTGCAGGGCTCCTGATTGGCCCTGTGCCCAGGTGCCCCGCCCTCTGGGAGAAGCGCGGCCAGGAAGTCCCTTTCCCTGGCTGGCCCCGTCCAAGGTACACGTGGTCGGGGAACCGCACGGGGAAGCCTGGAATCCCTGCTGGGAGCAGCCCGCCAGAGCCTCTGTTGAGCAGGCCAACCTTCCCACAAGCCACGGCCCTGAGAGAGAGCAGCCCCTGCGATCTCCAGCTGCAGGACCATTGGCCCAGCTGGCTGGGAAGGCGCGCCGGAGTCCCGGCTGCTTTGTCAGCGAAGAATGTGAGGTGAGCAGAAGATTTGGGGGAGAAAGGGAGGGAGAGGAAAGAGAGAGAGAGAGGGAAAAGAGAAAAAGAGAGAGAGAAAGAGAGAGGAAAGAGAGAGGAAATGCAAGTGCCTCTCTCTCCCTCTCTCTTTCTCTCCTCATCTGGAGAAAGAAGGGGGAGGGAGGGAGAGGAAAGAGAGAGGGAGAGGAGAAAGAGAGAGAAAGAGAGAGGAAAGAGAGAGAGAGGAAGCACAAGTGCCTCTCTCTCCCTCTCTCTCTCTCCTCACCTGGAGAAAGGGGGGAGGGAGGGAGAGGAAAGAGAGGGAGAGGGGAAAGAGAAAAAGAGAGAGAGAAAGAGAGAGGA